CCCTCTGGGGCCTGGCCTCTCTCCTTTCTCTTTCCTCTGAAGCCCCGGTCCAGGCCAACCTGGAAGCAGAAGCTGAACTGGGAAGCCACAACCCTCTGCCTGCCTGGGTTGGAAGGGTGCCCGAGAGCACCCCTGGGACTGAGAGCAGCCCCCGACTTGTGTCCCTGCCCCCAAACTCTTGCCCAAGGCAGGCGGAGGGTCAGCGGCACCCCACAGCTGCCCATGCGGCTTTTGTTCCAGCCTGTCTCTGACTGGCGGGGTGGGGCCTCGGAGCTGCAGCCCAGCTATTGTAAGAGCCACACAGGCCGTTGTGGAAACCCGGGGACCCTCCACCTACCTTGTGCAGGGAGTCTGGGGGCAGTCGACACAGATCAGTGCTGATCTTAGGGGGGCCCCATCCTGGGAAGGTGGATGGTCCATGACTCCCCACAGCTGCCTGGTCTCCTTGGCTGGCCTCCAGCTACAGGCCTAGCCAGGAGTGGAGCCTTGAGCAGGAGAGAAAGGGAGGGATGGCACGGCCTGTGGTGAAAAGCAGACAGGTCAAGCCTGTCCATTTTCAAAAGTGGCTTATCCATGTCCCCAGGCCCCCTCCTTCTTCCAGCACCTCAGCTAGTTGTCTTTAGACTAAGTTCTTTGGGCCACGGACTGTCTCTCACTGTGGCTCTGTCTAGACTGGCCAGTTTTTCCGGAAAATCAGCTGCTTTTCCGGAAAAACTTGCCAGCTGTCTACACTGGCCGCTTGAACTTCCGCAAAAGCACTGACGATCTCATGTAAGAAATCAGTGCTTCTTGCAGACATACTAGGCTGCTCCCGTTCAGGCAAAAGTCCCTTTTGCGCAAAGCTTTTGCGCAAAAGGGCCAGTGTAGACAGCTCAGATTTGTTTTCCGCAAAAAAGCCCCGATCGTGAAAATGGCAATCGGGGCTCTTTTGCGGAAAAGAGTGTCTAGATTGGCCATGGACTCTTTTCCACAAAAAGTGCTTTTGCGGAAAAGCGTCCGTGCCAATCTAGATGCTCTGTTCCGCAAATGCTGTTAACAGAAAACTTTTCCGTTAAAAGCATTTCCGGAAAATCATGCCAATCTAGACGCGGCCTGTGTGTTTGTAGCATCTGGTACACAGCCCTGGTCTTAATTAAGAAACCCCTAGGTACTCCTGTATTATTACTCCATGTTCAGTGGCCTCATTCTCTCTTCCTCTCTACCCCCATTCTGTTCACAGCTGTTAACAATCAATGACGATTTCTGTGGCCTGGATATGAATGCCCCTCTGGGAGTATCGGAGATGGTGCGAGGACTCCCCATCTTCACTGAAGATGGGGACAGGATGACGTCGGTGATCGCCTACGTCTACAAGAACCACTCGCTGGCGTTCGTGGGCACCAAGAGTGGCAAGCTGAAAAAGGTAAGCCTGGCCCGGCGTGGCCTTCCCAAGTCAGTGCTGCCAGTTGCTATGGAGACTGGCTGTGTTGAGATGAGTGGGGAGCGTTTAATAGGCCCGGTGCACAGTTACCTATTTTGTGAGTTGAACTGCATTGGTCGGTACAAGATTGTACTTCAGCTCTGAGGGGCTAGGCTGACATGACGGGAGGGATGCAGTTTTCCCCCTTAATGTTGTGCCTTCCAAAAGATGCATGACCATGGGTCTAGCCACCTTCAGACTTTGAGGTAGAATAGATCCAAGTACAAACTTCTTTTTAGGTCAGACGGTCTAATTAAAAGGCAGGTCACAGGGTGTCTGCATGCGCTGGGGAGGAAGAACTTGCTGGCATTGTGGGTTATTAAGAAATATGACTCATGCTTTGGAGGTGTTCCTTCAGACCGATGTGACCAGACATGCTTTTATCACAAACCTAGCAGGGAAGTTAGTAGTTGCTTTATCTGAGTAAGGCTGAATGTGTGGCTATGCAAAGGGAGAGGGATTTCTATGAAAGAGGAGCTGTGTTTGAAAGGTAATAAGCATGGTGTTTACTGGGTAACTATGGTCAGCTCCATATAAATAAATACTCTCTTGATGATATCTGGGCTTAAGTCCGGTCTCAAAGCTATTAGGCACCCTCCAAATGAATGGTGCATATCCATGGCTTAACTTTAGCTTTGTATGGTAGCAGCTGCTGTTATTTATTATACAGGGCACTAGTGATTGTCTTCTGAAGCTAAAAGCAAGAATGAATGACTTTTGCCAGTTGTTTTGGCAGGTGCTTTATGCTTAAGCTGTTCAGAACCATTCAAGTACCTCCCAATACTAAAAATGGGCTCTTTTAGCACCCCATCTGATGCAGGATCAGGCTGTTAGACTTTGCCCGGATAATGGAGCTGGAAGATGTTTCTGCTGCAAAATGTGGTTTTGTGTCACTACCACATCAGGACACAGAAGTGTGGGAGTGCCTCTCTAGAATGTAGAACTGGGATGTGTACTGAGCAATCTTTGTGGCGAAACCGGGGAAGCTGTCAATCTTGGGAAGAAAACTTGGGCTGGGGATTTTGTGTTTTCATTTTGAATTCCTTTTGTGAATTAAGTAAACCCCAAGAGCGTGCGGGGGTGGGTGGGAGGTAAGTGGTGAGCTGTTACAACTTGTACTGTGTCTGGAGCAGGGTGAGGGAAGCCATGTGCTCGCAGATATCTTTTGCTTGCTTTTCACCTTAGAAATATCAGGCATGGCAAGTCTGCTCCTGCCTTCTCTGTTCATGTCGAGGTCTGGCCCGGGAGGACCAAAAGACATTCATTGGAACGGTTTCAGTCCCAAATGAAAGGGGGTCGGGCTGTTGAATCGTCAATACGTTTTCCCCTCTCCCCCCCACGGCTGTGTGTTCAGATGTGTGTGAAATGGGCTCAACCAAAACAAGCTGAGTAGTTTGTAAACCATTGGGGGTAAAAATCATTTCCCCTTCCACCAGTGAATGACTTTCCACTTCTTTGTTATCTGTGATGTCACAGTAACCTAGCTAATTCTTCAGCTGCCTGCATTGACTGCTAGCAAAAAGAATAGTGCACCCTCACTGTTTTCATACTTTCTTTGAGGTCATAAGAAGCAAAATAGGGCATGAGCTCTTTTCCCCCCTCCTTTTCAGGTCTCTTATAAGATCTAGGAATGAGTCTCTTTCTGTTGGGAGCATAGAAAACCAGGGCATACAGGCTGGGAGCTGGGAAGGCTTTTATTTTTACTGTGTGTGCTGGAGACCAGGGGCATCCTTTTAGGGTAAAGAATCGGAGGAGGGAATCTGAGCCGCTGTCAGCAACCCTGGAGAGCTGCCTTTTGTTCCATGTGTACTAACTGTGACTAATGTTCTGCAACCAGGAGCTAACTGGGAATGGACAGGGGAGCAGTGCAGGAGCCTGGAGGCTGGGATCAGCCAACTCTGTCCTTTTGAGAAGCAGCTTTTCCCCCTGTAGGGTGTAGAAGGCTTCACTGGTCCAGGAAATGTTGGTCTCTCTATTTGTTTTAGCCCAGCAAATCTGGGGGGCCCATTCCCCGCAGAAATCTCTCTCATTCCACCGTCTGGCTTGCTAAGAGAACAGGATGTGATGCCCATCAGTACAGCGACTGTGATTCTTCAGCCTAGAAGGGTCAACAGTAGGCAACAGCTCAGAGCTCAGAACACCAGCCTCCCTCCCCCTCCGCATCCCATGTATCCTGGGAAATTAAAGGGCCAGTCTGGTACTTATTGTAGGCATGTGGCTTTGCCACTAGCTCTGCGCAAGAGCCTCCTTCTTTCACCTGGATCTAACTGGTGTCTGCCAAACCATCTCGGGCTTTTTGGGGAGCTTCCCATTTGGTTTTGCCTTGCCAGCCTGAGGTTCTGGTTCAGTAGCAGGGTAAGAGAAGCAGCCAAGAGAGCTGGTTTCAGGCCCCTCCCATCCCCTGCCTCATTGATGCTGCAGCTTCTGGTACATCCAATAAGTAAACTCTTTGAGATGAGAGAAATGCCTTCTATGGGCAAATCAGGCTAGCTCCACACTAAAAGGGAAGGTCGAATCAAGATACGCAACTCCTGCTATGTTAATTACATAGCCACACCCACAGCGGGAGGCCAACAGAAGCCAACGCTCCCATTGGCTTCCCTTACTCCTTGCAGAAGTAGGAGTTCCAGCTGAATGCCTTCTGAGTTTGATACAGCAGGTCTTAACTAGACTCGCTAAATCCAACTCCGGAAGATCGATCATGGCGATGTTGATCTTCCGTTTGGTGAAGACATGGACTCAGTTTCTGAAATAACTTATGTAGGATTAGATGAACCTCTGGGTCCCTGTGGTCCAAGGCCAGAGGTCTTCCTGTGCTTGTCTTCCAGGGGGTCCTAGCAACAATATTTCATTACTCCTCCCACCCCCAGACAATTGGTGTAATGTTGCCAGTGGGGCCATCCCTGGTGATCCATTTCTGGGTCAGTCAGATTAGGTGAGGAAGAATGCACAAGGGATGGAGTTATAAGACACTTGTTTGCCTTAAAGGTACAGAGTATATTTATATATTGGTACTGAAAAGGTTTGTTGCAAGTAATTAGCAGAATATGTTGGAGAAGCTCTGTGTCTCTGCAATTAAGAATGTATTGATTTGTGTGCATGTGTATGAGTATGTGTATTTTTATATAAGTGATACAGAGCATGTCTCAAATTCTCAAGCCACACAGTTTGTGCAAATTAGTCAGTCATCAAGCAATATCAGTTGGTTGATATACAAATGTTATACACGTCAAAGGAATTTTCTAGTGACATGCAATTGAAGTAAAATATTGAGCTTTACAAGAACACATCATTAGAATGAAAACTAGCGGTGTATCAAAAATCTGGCCATGTAACCAAGACAACAAAGAAGAAAGAAAAGGGAAAACCAAGATAGAGTGGAGAAGGAGTGAGGGAAACAGAATGAAGAGATAAAAAGGACAAAAAGCAAAGTGGTCTAGAAGAAAATTAACCCATGGCACGAGCGCATGTTAGAAACTGAAGCTGGAAATGTTAATTGAAAGGTTTGGGGAAGGCTGGTGTCACTTATGAGCTGAGAGAAGGGGTGATTCAGTGGTTAAAGTGTTGAGGCTAAATACCCAGGATCAAGTCCCTGCTCTGCCCCAAACTTTATGTGACCTTGTAGAAAACATGTAGCTTCTCTGGGCCTCAGTTCCCCATCTGTAAAATGGACGCAATACTTTCTTTACACAGGGAAGTACTGTGATAATTAATACACTAAAGATTGTGAGTTGCTTAGATATTTGTTAATGGTGGCCATATAAATTCCTTAAATAGATTATATATCTTTGGAAGAAATATAAAGCCAAAGTCCTGACTACCTCTGGTCACTAAATACTCTGCGGGGGCCTTAAATGTGTGGGTAGACCAGTTATTAGCAGTGATGGACATCCTGCAGCCCGCAAGATCACATGCAGTCCATTGGGATTCTATGTGTGACCTGCAAGACATTTTGTGTACAGTTGCTCACATGCAGGGTTGCCATATTCTGCTGGTTTCCATCTGTATAGTTTTTTTCCTACCGGTATTATTGAAGTGACACACACATAAAGCCAGGGCACGTGACGTGAGGTGCGTGCTGATTGCGCACAACACTGACTGTGACAGCCGTGCGCTCCCTCTGCGTTGTTGTTGCTGTGGTTCAGTTGGCATGCCCCGCAAATTGTAGGCGCGTTAGCAAAACTTCCCTACCCTGGGAGACTGTCTTGGTTATGACAGTCTTGTGGCTCATTGAGATGAAGGAGGTGGCCTGTTCACTAGTCTAGGTTGCCCATTGGTGAGCTATAGACGTCAAGGATCTGTGTCCAAGCTGAAAATCAACCACCTAATCATTATCCTAGTTTTAGGGAAGGGTAGATGATTATGCAGAGTGGAGGTTCAGAGGGGAGGGAGGGTTTAAAGTTTGGTCTGGAGAGAAAGCTGCATCAATTCAACCCTGTGGGGAGTGATTTCCAACCAACTCTCTCAACAGCGCTATGCTGTAACTCTCTCAACATCACTGTGCCATAGCTGAGTAGGGGGAGGGATAGATTTATTTATTCAACAACATTTTACCAGGATAAATAATTCTCAGAGATGGGAAAACAGCAGCGGAGCGAGCATGGTAGTGGTGGCAGTGTGTGGGTTTGTGTAATTGGGCAGCATGACTGCAGAATGCTAAAGCACTTGTGTAAGGAAGAAGAATTTTTTTTCTTTCCCCCGACTCTATTTGTGTCCAAAGAAACTGAGCTAATAAAGGAGCCCCGGGTTTGTCATGCGGAGACGGTGAGTTCCCATTAATTGCAGGTAAATGCAGTGATCCTTTGCTATTATCCATGCGATTAGTTTTCTGAATATGCCGCTGATGATGATTTGGTTTTGATGTTCCCTGGAGGGCACCAGGCTGCTGACAGCTCCACGCAAGTTGTCAGTAGAGAAACAAACTTTTCTCCTTTCTTCCGCTT